TATATATATATATATATATATATATATATATATATATATATATATATATATATATATATATATATATATAAAGAAGCGAGAAAACTAGACAGCGTTTAGTACATACAAATAACTGCTGAACGATATCTTGATTATATCTACGATCACTCGTCGATCTGCTTTTGGTTGTGACCCACTATGGTGCAGTGCTTAGCAGGCAGCAAAAACGTACACGCAACATAACGGTGCTACAAACCCTTACCGTCACCGCACAATAGACCCCTAAAACAGCCTCCCTAATAAGCTAGGATCCTGTGCAGGTCAATCTATATGATATCAAAACAATACCAGTCCTAAAAGCGCTTCCACTCCATTCGTCGTCACTGAACGTAGGAGGTGCTCCTCCCCCACCACCACCACCTGGCGGCGCTGGGCCTCCTGGACCGTCACCTCCGTTGGGGGCAGCCAACGCCAAAGCCAACACCAACGCCAAAGAGAACCAGAAGGTAGAGTCGCCCTATAAACCACTGTTCTGGAAGAAGCTGCACCCGCAGCAGGACACCTTCTGGTCGAACTTGGGACTGGGCAACGAGGTGTGTGCTTATTGAGGGCAGTTGGAATGGTATCATTTGGTGACGGCTTTTTACGGTTGAGGATTGTATGTGTCTCTACGCCGTATGTTATAACTGTAGCTACACTTAAGGTTAACTGTTGTATTGTCCATGTGCGCCTGGTGTATATGTTGACGTGTACACTTTGGTACTCACAGGTTGATAGCACGCAAGTGCAGAAGGAGTTTCTCAAGGCTCAAACGAAGACCAAGGACATCACCGTTGCTGCGTCTGTAGCGCCAAAGGTTTGTCAACGACTGTATACTACGGTCATGGATTGGTCGTGTTTCTGTTAAATAACTCTATGAGTGTAGACACTGAATCGAAGGATAGGCTTAGACAGTTGTGCTATCCTCGGTGTAGATGCTCTTCACAGCCTCGTACGAAGATTTCTTACAGTGCTGATGTGTGTGCTCTTGATGCTGTACTCCATACTAAATTGCATGTGTTTGTTTGTGTACATACCTCCAAGCTTTATATTGACCTTATTTGCAATTTATATTTTAACAAACTAATCAACTGAGCATTTCTGTTCGAGCACCTGATGCCGTATATTATGGAGTTGCCGTTTTCGATGATAAAGCACCTAATGCACCTGTGGCATGCAATTTGCTCATCTGTTAGACCCTCCATTGGGTGTATTAATGTCGATATGAACCAGGCCTGTCCTAAGTGCCTAGTCAATTGAACCGGTATGTTCTGTTTGAATTGCTTTCTGTGCTGCAGACCATCACCGTACTGGACGGTAAGAGAGCACAGACAGTCGGTATCGCACTTGCAAAACTTCCCAACGTCAACACCGTCGGCCAATACATCCACGACATGAACGACAAAGAGGTACGTACAGCGTACTCTATCGCCAACGCAGATGTACACGGTTTTAAGGCTTCGGGGTTTAGGCCCCCATCTGATAGCCGGTTTGTGAAGCGCTGCAGGTCTCAAGTACTTTTCAACTTGCTCGTCATTACTTGAATGGTTTCCCACATGCGGTCTCAGACTATCAGTCGGCTGTACTGCTTGCGGGCAACAGAGTAGTATTTAAACTCGTACGTCGAACGTAGTCCAACTGATTTGTGTGATCTATTACTTTACTTATCCTCCAATACACAGCTGGATCGAGACACCGTGAAGCGTCTACTCGACATTTTAGCCACCAACGAGGAAATCGCCGCAATGAAGGTATACTACACTTCAACTGCCTGCGTTCACTCCAAGGGCCAAGAAGTCTGTTGTCGTGCTTACACACAAACATCTATCACATCTCAGTCTGTAGGTACCATGTACTCGCACGTGTTTGTGCTGTGTACGTACATTCTTTAAGGTAGTCGCACAGAGGGGCCGTTAGTGCAATTCATGCAGACACGCAGATATTACTGCGTGCATACTATATAGCCTCTGCATTCATTCCTAAGACACATGCTGTGACTAGTGTGTGCAGTGCACTCTCTGATGAGATTTTACCTCAATCTCCACAGGAACAAAAGAACCAGAATCCGAGCTTGCCATTTGCCCCGGCTGAAAAGGTACGTATTGTCACCTTAGTTCTATGCAGACTCTCCGCCGGTCTTGGAATGTATTCTACAGTTCTAAGTAATGTCAGCTATGTACAGAGCACAGCATGTGTTGACTTCTGAGCTAAACAGTTGTGTTTTTATTGATAATCTGAATACATGATTGCATGACTGATATACGTTCGACCTACTGCTGCCATGGTCAACAATTTTTGCTTTCATATACATATACCAAAAATAACTGGAATTGCAAATTTGATAGACAAGCGCGGTAGGTTGATATCATAACCGTATAACCATGCAGCAGATCTTCTAAATAAGTGTGAAGAAGGCGCTCGTTAAGCATAGCCGAAAGTCTAGGTGATGTTCACATAGTCACTGCAGTACAGAAGCATGTTAAGCGAAGCTGTAGTTGGTATTCTCATAGGCATTGCCTTGCAGCTGTATAGTAAACGAAGTTTCTACTTGCCGTATCTCGTAGTCAGAGAAATATTAAAGTTAAAAGCACTTACATGACAGCTATTCTGACACTGATATGACACTACGGATAACTCTCTCAGTATCTGTGGAACATTTCCCAAGTGCCCGACGTCAAGATGAGGCTGGAGTGCTGGGTCAACATGATTGAGCTGAGCGATCGTGTGGAGAGGTGAGTTATGTGCCTTATTGTGTGTGTTTACGTAGGTTGTGCATGCTTGTCAGCAATCCGAGGTTCCGAAATGTATCACTTTGAAAGTATTATCTTATAGAATATTAAACAATTCCTAGGCACGCTAAATCTTGTCAGCTGATGGGCCTATATATATATATCAGCTGATAGGCCTATATATATATATATCAGCTGATAGCCATGTATGCCTATCTTAGAGGGTCGCGGTGTATTCCGTATGATACCTCTTCACGACGTCTGGATTCGCAAGGTTTCGGATGTCACAATCCAAGAGTATTTTATATTATATCATGCGATAGAAACTTTTTAGGTGCACATTGATCCTGATGGCACATGCCAGCTATCATGATCTCACTACAACGGAGCACACTCCGTATCCCTGTGAGCGCTATGTATGGGCACACGTCATCAATAACTAAAGTTCGATAGATTGACCTATGTTTCCAACAACCAAAGTACCGCAATGTGAGTACATAAGCACGCATAGTTTGACCCACAACTCTCTGACCCATTGTCACTTCAGTATGGCTGAGCCGTTGCTAACGCTGTACAATGCAATCAAAGGACTGCGCGACAACGATTCCTTCCACACCGTTCTGGGTGTCATCTTGCGCTTTGGTAATATTCTGAACCACGGGTCGGCCGCCCGAGGAGAAGCAAAGGTACGAAACTGCTATAACCTTCCAGATGCTTGTTGTGTTTGGTTCACCCGAATAGCCTGGGGCCAATGGGTGTGTTGAAAACGTTTATCGTGGAAGGTATACGCAACTCGAATTGTCATGAAAGTAAACGGAATTAAGTTGCATGTAATATATATTTGAAATGGTTGTCGAATCAATACGACCCTATATATTGGATAAACACGGGCCTATGGTAATCACCCACCATATGTAGTCACTAAATTACACTCAAAGTCAAAGTGTTGATTTATGATGGACACCGACAAGCAGGCATTTGATCTCCAAACGTTAAACAAACTGGTTGGACTAAGGGACCAGGCAGGACGTCAGAATCTGCTGGACTATATTGTATCTTCAATGTACGCGGTGAACAATGAATTCGCCAACATGAAGGTGGAGCTAGCCTCGACGGCTGCGATTGGTGAGGGTTTATTTCAGAACAAAAATCAAATGTCTAAGCGGACTAGTCTGAGTGATATCATCTGTTTCTGAGCCCTGTGTTACGCTTGATCGTGGCCAAACAGTTCCAAGTGTTGTTAATAGGTATTGATAAACCAAAATTGATGTCGTTGAGAAGTACAAGTCCACTCTATTGCCAGTTTGGTCATGTTGACGATAAGATCAGATCTATAATAGAACTTCTCGTGATAGATTTGTCAAGTACCGGTAGGTACCCGAGAGTTATTTGCTTTATTATGTTTACTGACCTGTCTGAATTTATCCTTTCGCCCTTTAATTCTATACGTCTGTAGCTAAGTATGACTACAAAGGGCTGGATAAAGACATTCTCAACTTGGATAATACCACCATGGAAACCGCGACAACAATCAAGAAACTGGACATCAATAATGACAAGACCAGGAGCTTCTTAGCTGATGCCGAACGCAACGTGGAAGTACTCGATATAGTCGGGCAACGCTTGAAGCATAAATTCTCCAAATTGCTGTGTATGTAGTAGGCTACGCTCACTTTGTGCAACTGTCCTGGGTCGATTCTGGTGCGTACCAAATGGAACTCTTTGTTTTTGTACCAATGTTACTGAAAGCGTACTGTCTATTGCAAGCTCTGATCCATACAGCATGCGGTAAGGCTTCCTCACACCGGCCATATTTAGATGCAAACACGGCTTGGTGTCTCACAAACCTTTACCATGATAGAATAAACTCTAGCCACGAACATGCGCATCTGCTTTCTCTAGTGTGTACTCTCTTGTATTTGCCGATGAAACCGCGCAACCTCTGACCTCCCGTTTCATCGTTGATCTCACGCCACGGGCATCAATTCCTCCGAAAATCATACATCTCCAGTATACTATGGCTATAGTCGAAAAGACGCACAGTCGGTCGAAATTAATGACTTCTTCGACATGATCACTACGTTCCTCAACACATATGACGATGCAATGCAAAGGGGGATACTACTGGAGATGAAAGAGTAAGTTTGTCAGTAACTTAATTATTCTTGGATACTACCTGTGATCTGCATATTATTATGTTTCAATATTCTACGCTAACTGTGACACGGTCGTGTCTAGTGAGTATCAGACTACGACTTCGTATCACACAATATACGGCACAGGCATTATCATACTCCCAATCAGTGCAAAAAGGCTTTTAGTATTAATGAGAGCATATGACATCCAAATTGCTATCGCTTAGGCTAAAATTTGCCTCCGCTACGGGAGGAAAGTTGACCAATGATTCAAGAACTGAGTGATAGTATATTCACCAGTTCGAACAGTCTCATGCGTGCCCTTGTCCTATATCACTCGTAAAGAAGTATATTCCAACACGTGGCAAGTTGATAGCAGGTAATATTGCTCGCCCGTGCGATCGAGCAAGAGGGCCGATATGAGATTTGTGCAAAAGCATATTTTGCAGAATAAGTTATAATCTGCAGCACTGACGTGTCTGTTATATGTCTTGTTCACACAGACAGCAGAAGGGGAAGAAGAAGCAAACTGTGGGTAAGCGACTAGCCGAGGTTGTCACTGTAGAGAAAGAAGTGGTGGAAGCTTGCGAGAAAAGTAAGCAGACGAGATCACCGCGCTTCCAGTCACGAAGCAACACGCAGAAAGAATCTGCACCTGTGACACTGGCATCTAAGCGGTCGACAGGCGCTTCTACACTCGACATACCATCCGATGAAACCTTGGCATCTACGTTACTCAGTCCTACCGACACTCTGCGGAAAAGCGACAGCAGCGGTGGTGTGCTGCATCGACGGCAGAAGTCTATAGATGCAGGAGAGGTAGGTGATGGACGTTCGTGCTGCGTGTAGCACTCGGTTTTAAAAATGGATCATCTTGCTTTCCGCAAAATCATGCACCAGTGAGTCCAAGTCTGTATCGTTTACGACAGCGATGTCCGCAACCAATTACACGCGTGGCACATCATTGCGCGCACTGTATAGCTCCCAAGTGAATGGATAGTCCACTGGCGCCCTCGTGAACATACAGTCACGGCTGGAGCGTGACTTAACCGATTTTTCTGTCACTCCCAACTACTTTTCTAATTGCAGGGCCTGTTGGATGCTCTCGCTGAGAAGTCAGTTACGAAGAGGAAGGGTCGCATTGCCCGCAGTAAAAGCAAGTACGGCACGCGCATGTCGAGTAAGTTGCCCCCGAACTGATGATATGATTTGATGCGTCCATTCGCAAGCGCCAGATAATTATCTTATCTGGCACACTTGAGACTGTATTCGGAATACACAGCAGGAAACGGTCAGATTGCCGCTTGTATACGACCGAATTACCAGGATATACCCGATAGGAAAACTGTGTACTATATTGGCTATCGTATCCGGCCACGATTTTAACTGAAGCCAAGTCTGAAACGATATCGTTCGAGAATATGATTTTTAGTTCGCTGCCTATGGATGCTTAATGTTTAATGTAATACTACAGCGCCATATACGCTCAATACTCTTTGGCATAACGTGCATAACAAAGATCTGAACTCATTCGTATCGTCATTACTATTCCCTCTACTTGCAGTACGCAAAAGGACTGAACTGAAATCGGGATCGAAGGCGGATCTCGTTGATGCTCTAAATGCCCTTTGATAACACTGCTGTCTTGTGGGGAGATCAATGCCGATCTACACTGCGCTGTATCAAGTCATCAATAAAAATTTCTCACTCTTATATCGTCGTGTAGTACCGGGCAATTCGATCTGTTAATTGAACCAGTTCTTCCGTTAACACTGCTAGAGCAGAGTATAATTACGATAACTATCTGTCGTAGAGTGTTGTATTGAACAAAAGCATATCGCTTCATTGTATGGAAAGACTTATCCCATGTACATCCTCTCAACGTTCGATCCTGAATCTAAAAGTAAGCGACAAGAAAGCCGCGATGGAAAGTGACGCGCGTTGATATTGATCAATAGTTTAATATATCAATTCAATGTCCGGTGCCGTCCAGGAAATGCAGCCTATGGGAAGACGGCGCCATTTGGCTAAATTTTTTACAGTGCTCCTATATTACCCGATTACATGTGAACTTACCAATGTATTGTTTGCAGATGACAAACAATGTAGTGTTTTCAGATGAAGAATAGTCTAGAATGTATGAGAAAGGTCACAATTTACTGCACATCAATTACTAAAGGATTATTTTTAATACTCATTATCTGATCAAATTACTAAACTTATGTACATTGTAATCAAGCAATTGCTGTCGATATATCAGCTATGCTATCGCCGAGAGGCAAGCTCATTTGTGATCGTAAACAAAGCAATGGATTCTGCTTGTTGTCCGGATCAGTCCCAGTATGAGGTGGCACGTCCGGAGTTTGTTCTCTGCTTGCATCGTTGCGCAACATATTCGACAAGAATGCATCCATACCACCTTGCAGAGCAATTTGACTGTAAGCGGTTTGCACTTGTGCAATCAAGAAATTATTCGCCCCTACCTCACCACCAAACGCTGCAAGAAGGAAGGGTTTTACATCACCATGATAAAAGGCTACTTCGGCTAAACTCTTCAGTTCTTCAGCCATAGACGGGTCTTTCACAATGTATTCGTTACCATGTGCATCCACGCCCAAACAAAATCGAATCCATGATGCAATTGCAATACTCATGACCGGGAATTCCCTGTGGGCTTTGATGTGATCAATAATCACTGGCTTCCAAAAGCTGCTCCCTTTAACACTGCCATCCTCGCACAGGCGGGTGATAGTATCACTAACCTTCGAATTGGAGAACCGCTCGCACAACATGGCCATGTATTTGTCTAGCTCCATGCCTTGTACTTCTTGAACTGTGACTACTGTCTCAGCCATAATGGCGGTTGTTAACTTCTGTAGGCGAGTATCAGTGATGGCTTTGTCTACAAAAACGTGGCCTGTGAGGAATGCCGAATATGCTAGTGCACTGTGTGTACCATTGAGAAGTCGAACTTTTATGTGTTCGTATGGTAGGACGTTGGGTGTCAAAACAAGTTTGGGACCAGACATGAACTCCCACTGGGGCCGCTCGTTGCAGAAATTGGTTTCTATCACCCACTGCCTGAAAGGCTCACAAATAACTGTATCGGAAGCATTCACTGTGTTAGGAGTGATACGATCAACCATGGTGCTAGGAAATGCCACCTTTTCTCTGATCCAATCTTCGAGCTCCCTGTTACCCTTCATTTTTACAAACTCCATCACCGCATTGCGGAACACGTGCCCATTGCCTGGAATATTATCTAAACTCATCAAAGTAATCGGGGGCATTCCAGACTCCATGCGCACGCGCAGGGCCTCTGTGACCAGCCCCAACATAGACTTGGGAGATTTGGCACCCTCTGCCGTTAAATCGTGAGCCAGCTCATTGTTCATCATAATTTTGCCCGTCGCCAAGTCGCAACTGTATCCCTTCTCTGTTACAGTCAACGAGACTATTTTTGTGCTATACTCTGCGATAATGTCGATGGCGCGCTGAGGATCAACGCCCATGTTTGCAAGATCTACAATCGAGCCGATCTTTGTGGTCTTATTATAAGACTCACTAGAAGCCATGAGGTCGTATGTGTAGTTCGTTGTTTCGAAATACTCAATCAGGTCCCTCGTTCTTTGCGTATCACGGTCAACAGCACGAATCTCCCATTCCACCAGGCCTTCTTGCTTGGCAATAGCATTATAGTCGTGTAGATAGCGAGCAAAGTGGGCACGACTGAAGTTGCCGAGTCCGATATGGACTACAACATTTTTGTTAATGGTCATATTGAACAGAGCGATGTGATGATGTATGTTTTGCAGAACAGAGAATCGTGACATACTTATATTATTTAGACACCTGGCAAAACTATCCCCATTTCCAAATAATTAACAACCTGCCGGAACGCCCGGAAGCTATAGTATACTACTTGTGTAAAAATTTATCGTCGTTTCATGTGTGACTTTGCAGTGTGCACTGGGGTTTCTTTTAAGAAAAAGATTTTGTAGCATCCGCAAAGTGTCTGTCGAATACCTCGGTTACGCCAGGGGCCCAGAGAGGGTCCAGACCACACACCGTATAGTAAAAATTGCTTCCGGTTTTAATCTCCTCTCCGTTAATAAATATTGCTTCGTTCAGTCGTTCACTCTCCCTTTTCCTCTTGAGTAGTCTCTACTAAATAAATACTCTCTCTCTCTCGCTATGTAGTCTACTTCTAGTAGTCGTAGACTCTCTAGAGTCTAGAGTACTTAAACTATAGTATTTACTACACGAAAAATAAAATTGGACCGCAGGCGCACACCGCGGGCCGCACAGTCGGTCAGTCGCACCTTCTGAATAAAAATAAAAATAGTAATAAAATTAAAAAAGCATAGTGACATGTGCGTAAATATTTACATTTATAGCGAATAGTTACATCTGCTAACTTTCTTTTTCTTTTTCTTTGAAACAAATATAAATACGTACATACAGTATGAACTGTTCTTTTTTAAAAGAAATATGATACTGGATACATATGTCTAAAATATTTTTCTGAAGGCATGTCAGCCGTCAGGAAACAGAAAATAAGTACATATGTATTATTTAGATATATTTTTTTTTATATATAGCCTTCTTCTCCAAAAAAAATGAATCAAAGTTTTCTAATTTTAGTAATTTCAAGCGAGATCAAGACTTGAGTAGAAACTAAATACATAATAGAGACTAAATACATAATAGAGACTAAATACATAATAGAGACTAAATACATAATAGAGACTAAATACATAATAGAGACTAAATACATAATAGAATGTCTCACATTGATGATTGTCGATTGACGGTGATTGACCCGGCAGCGGGTGGGCGCCTGGCCTGGGCTGTGCCCAACCGGCCGCTACTAGCCTGCCAGCGCCAGGCCAGATGACAACCGGTGTGCAGCTGTGCAGTGTGCACTGGCCAGTGGCCACTGGCCCACTGTGGCCTGAGAGGCTGTGCTGCTTTGCCCGCGTGTGTTCTTTTTTTTTATATAAACACTGATTTCATAGGAAATGTCAAATATTTACTCTGAAAATCTGATCCCAGTACATAACCAAACTTGAAACTATCAAGTAAATACCAAGACCAAAGTACCACCTGCTATATTTAAAAAATACCGATAAAAAGTGCTTTATAACTTTTAAAATATGTCCTTTAACTTTTCTAAAAATTTGGCGTTCTATAGGCTATGAATTATTAGCAGTATTCGCAACCACTCCTGAGAATATTCATCATATTTCCGGGCGAATCCAGTAGCTTCAAAAAATTTACGAGTGCATGAGAAATCTAGGAGACGTAGATGAGCACTGGCTGCGGAGCCTCGGAGGCAGGATGTAGAGGAGAACTGCACTGGTAGTCTAGTACGGAAGACATTTTTTTTTGAATAGGTTAAATAGCTCCTTTTTTTTAAACCCCCAAATACCATAGCCTCCTAAATTGAACACAAATACTGACTCGTTGTGCCTTTTTTTTTTCTTAAACAAAAACCAAGGCCCCTGTGGAGTGTCCCAGTACAGTATTCAATTAAATGCCTTTAAAAAAAGGGGGGGTATAGAACTACATATCCAGTTAAATATCCACTATGCAGTGCTTGAATAATATCGTAGTAAAATATCTATTTATGTAAATAAATACCTCATCTATCCCTGCTACGTTAGAAGAGGAGAAGCTTCAGAGGCCAGACCGCCAGAGCCTGCCAGAGGCTCACAGTCTCCGACTTCAGAGTCTCCGACTCATAAGTCAGAACTCGGAAGGTGCTAAAAAAGTGAGAAGTATTCATAATAATACAACAAACCAATTTTAGCAATATTATTTTAGCAGGTCCGTATTTTTATCACCCGCAGGGTCATAAGCGCTGTGAAGTGTGATGCTTATTAATTCATGCAGCATCCTTACACTAAATACGAATTTAGGACTACTACCACTGTCGTATTTAACTGTGGTTACTTCTATGAAGTGTGGCGAGGAGAACGGGTCTAAAACGGCGAAGCCTACCGAGCTCGGCTCACCCACTGCGGGTAGTCACGTTTACAACAAGTTATTTTTATCACTAAAAGCTTTAGCTATTAGGTTCTATTTATCCAAATAAGGAATGATGCGAAGCTTTTTATGCCCATTTGCGACCCTGTACATGAATATAGAAAGGCCCAATACAAGAAACACGATGTGATACCAGCAGTAGAAGATACGGTTATTGGGGGCTTCCCCCCCCCCCCCCCGGGCCCTGTGCCCCGCCCCTCCCCCCCCCTCCCCCTCCCCCCAACAACAACCAAAAAGAAATTGGAAATCTGGACCCAAACGTGAACCAAAATTGGAGTTGCGGTTTAACCATCATGGGGCGCGCTTTCGCAAAACAAATAAGGGTTCGAAACCCCAAAAATGAAACCTATTATTTCCCCCCTCTTTTCAGACCTTTTAGTTCCCCACCGACGTCAGCGGTGTTTTATTTATTTTTTAAATAGAGTGAGTCCTATATCTGATTCTCTCACTCTCTCTCTCTATGATATAAAGGTGGATGGATGCTTTGGCTTTGAGTCTTAGGTTGGAGATCTGACTTCATACTTTCCACACGCACTTGAATACTGAGTATAATCCCTCCTTTTTTGTACAGGCACGGCTGACTTACTCATCAGGAAGCTGATATCAATATTATAAAATGTTGTGTGGTGTGGAGAAGGATTAAACATTGTCCTTTTCATAGACACGCGTAATGAGTATCTGTGACACATAATGGGTATCTGTTGTGACCCGATGTATGGCTATATGTATTAATGTATGGGTGTATGCTACACGTGAGGCCACTGAGGCGATGAAGCAGTGATGTTTGTGCATTAGTTGTTTTTCTTGCCGATATATCTCCATTTGTAATTTTGGAATAGCAAGGCAAGGTACATCCTAAAAAATTTAAGCTACTACAAAGAGGATCGCATGCGCTAATGGCCCCTCGTTAGCTTTAACGGTGTGGACTGTGTTTATATTGAATTTTATGATATTTAGTACTAATTGCATTAGTTTTAAAATCGTACGTATAGTACGTAATGTATGGTGTGAAAACTAAAAGTGTGATAGTTATACGTGACGTTAAATTCAAATGCCCCGCAAGATGTTCTATAATGATAAGCTTTTGTGAGCCGTAGGTTTTAATACTGATGGCAACTCATTTCAATGAACGTACTTTCACATTTTTACGACGACGAGCGCTCACCGCTTTATTCTTCAACTTTAACGGCGTTCGCCGAGATATCCTTTAGCTGCTGTGTCCTTATATTTAATATTCAGTATTAATTGTACTAGTTTGATCGTCATTAGTGATTAAGAAGGACGTTGGATTAAAATGATCTGGAGGATGTCATATACTGACGAAATCACTTGTTCAATGGGACCTTTTTTTTGTGGACCTGAGTTTTTTTGTGGTAAATCCTATCGATGTGCACTTTTTGTCTCCATCGAGCTAAAGAGGGGTGAGGTTCCACGAATCCGGCTAGTATCATTTGTGCTTCATCGGGTGACTGATTAAGGGTACTACACGGAGGATCTAATGTTTCGAACTTGGATCCGAATATTGTTGACCCCGGCTAATTGCGGTGATGGTACCATCCTGTGGCTGATAGGGGGTACCAGGTACACAAGAGACCTAGTGGTTAGAATTTTAATTTATTTTTGTATGCGCTTACGATTTGTGAGGACGCGGCTCAACAATGCCATTGGTGGTAACCGAGAGACGCTTATCATAATGTCGAGCATCTATCAAACAGCTATGCAAGTGACATTCTCAGTGTATTCCGGGGATCCAGTTCGTTGCGGTAAATTGGCGCTCACTCTATGTATGTATCGGTGCCAAATTGTGGAAGCAGTATCCCAATTTATTTATTTTAAACCTCCGAACAGTGAACTTTTTGTGGCTTTATACAGGCCAGGTATACAGTGAACTTTTTATGACTTTTACACGGGGTCAGTTAGACTTTTATGACTTCCTGGCAGCCTGACAAGATTTGTTTTATATGACTCACAAGTCATAGCAATAAAAGAACTTATCCTTTTTGTTGATATTTTTTTTTTAAACAATCAAAATGACTTCCCGGCCAATTTTTGTTTTATTTTTAAACAAATGAAGACTTCCCCCGGGCGCCCCGCGATTAGCCAACATTTGTTTTTATTTAACACTAAAAAAAAATCAAATACCAAAATCACAATATAAATAATCCTACGGACTGTCTGTTGTGGTATACAGAATCTGTTGTTTCTATTTATAAAGACAATTTTTAAAAATTTTCTCGAGGGTATAAAACATTTTTCTAAAAATGTTTTTATTTTATATATAAAAAACACATAAGAAAAAAGAAAAAAAAGCCTTCATCTGAAAAAAAAACCCCCCGACATTAAAAAGTCTGCTGCTCCCATCAGAAGGCAGATATATTTTTTATATATATATTTTTTAGTATATAATCCTCTAATGCGTAATAGGCTGATTAGTAGCCTTCACATTTTTATAAAAATACTAGGCTGGCGCGACAATTTTATAAAGGGCCATGCTTGTTTTTTTTTTTACTAGAAGGAGGCTATTTATGGTCAATGGCAAACTGTGCTATGCTCTATGGCCCTATGGCCTATGCCCTATGTAGGGGCTAGAGAAATTGATTTCTATTTGTTTTTAAAAAAGGCGAAATTTGTATCTAAAAATAAAAAGACATGGCCCTCTGCCATCTGGATATGTATTTAGGATCAATTTTTCCACAGGACAATGGGTCAATGGGACGTTGAGCAATTTTTTCCACAGTATAAAACGATCGTATGTTTCTAAATAAAAAACCTCTATAATGAAGAAAAAAAAGATAGTAAAAAAACCAACCCACAAAATGGTTTATCTCTGGACATAAATAGTTTTCTCCAATTTTGTTCTGGTCACCAGCCACCAGCCCGCGCCAGGCGCCAGGTGCCTTTCTCTCTAGGTGGCTATGTATGTAGTGCCTTTCTGATGAAACTCTGACTGTTTTTTTAGAAGAAGGCTATGGTCGAAGTTCGAACACCAAAACCATATTTGAACCGTAATATATTTACAAAATATTTTCCCTTTTAGTTGTCCTCTATAGCGCAAACCCTATATGGACTTTCTTGTGTAATTTATATTATAGTTATATATAAATATGTACATGTTTCTATAGATGCTATAGAGTGAACGATAGCACAAATCCTTCAGTAGCTGTGAAAGACATCTACACATACAAATGTGAGTACTTGTTATGTTCATGAACATCTACATAAGGGGTAGTCTATCTATATCGGTGTCCGTTTTTATTTCAGGTTTCAAGTACTTGAACCATTTTCAACCGTGTAATTCGACAGATTCGCCTGAGTTCACGGCATATTTCCTATTGCGTGTGCGACTTTGTGTCTTTGAGCTAGATAGCAATATATAAATTTTAAGTGTCACTGGTGTCCTTCTCCCTCCAAAAGTATATATTTGATAGTATTGTCATCTATCTGGGCCGTATTCGCTTTTAAATAGGCGTGAAATGTGCTGAACGCAACTACGGAAATTGACCACCAGTCCATACTCGCCCGTCTCTGTAGTAAACAGCGAATACCAAATTATTTGCACGGGCCGACTTAGCGCGTGATATACACGTCTACTCCTAAGTATATTTTCGCGTACCAAATAGTTTTCATTCGTGAAATGCAAGTGCTGCTGGAATTTTTGTGTTCATCAGTTAACGCATCTAAGTCAGTTACACGCTTTTGATATAAATATACGCTAATACGTCACTCATACACAAAAATACGCAAACTCTGTGCAGTGCTATGACATCGAGCCTTGTCGTAATGGACCACCCTAGTGACCACACGATACAGTCGGCCACACGATCCATTATCATATAGAAGTCTGAATTCTTTCTCTATCTTCACAAAACACAGCTGCCAAAATGATGAAATCTGGATTTATGTCACGAATCTTCTTCCAGGAGTTGACCGCTGGTGTGATTGTAGGCGGTGTACTCGGTGGTGCTTACTTAAAGGTATATTGATTGAATCACGTTTGTGCCATATATATATATGTATATTTAAAGGTATATATCTATATGTAAATATACCTGTATATGTATTTGTATATACGCATGTATATGTATGTAAGTATATATCTATATGTGTGTGTGTGTGTCTGCGTGTGTTTGAATAAGTCTAGGTGAATGCATGGGTACGTGTAGATTAATAAAAATATATACTGAATAAGTCTCAAATAAAATTCAAATAAGATATACATATATGTACATATTCGTATATATGTACTATTTGTGTTATCAATACTCATTATGTACAAGTTATATATCTTTTCTACAAGTACGTGAATTTGTGAAGTATGTATTTGTATATATATAACATGTATACCCTTCAAGATGTGCTTTAGTGTATCTGCTTGTAGCTAAATGCTTTCATTCTCAATTTGCTTATATGCTTTGCACCGATACATACATCGAAGAATCACATATGCATATGTGTATGAATGTATATGTATTTAAATGTGAAGAATTGTGCGTATGTGGGTACTTGAAAATGTTCGTTTTCTTATTCATATCTATTTTCCTAGTGTATGTATAGATGTGTACCTGTGTCTGTGCGTGTATATCCATAAATATATGTATGTACACTTATATGTATGCATGTACACATATATGTAGGTATGTACACATGTATGTATATACGTACGTGTGTGTCTCTAGGTGCATATATATTGTTATTTCGAGTCTTACTACATACATACATATAAACTTACATACCTGTATACTTACAAATGTATATCCGCATACTTTCAGTGTATACATATACATATACCGGCGTAAATAGTCGCTTTCAAATACATCCATGTTTTTTGTGTGTATGTATATGTATTTATATATATATGTACATACATTATACACGTACCTATATATTTTCCTCAACAATACTATCACACCTTTGTTGCTCACTATCCCGAAAACATGTTTATATGTGTATATTTATATGTTCCCGTTTGTTTATATTTATATACATATATATATGCTTTGTTCCTAAGTTCCTTTCAGCCTTTCTTCATTCATACAAATTGATTTATTTCTATGTATGTATGCATTTGTGTCCTTAATATTGTTTTGCATTTGGTTATGTATAAGTGTTGTGCCATATGCAGTTTTCCACATGTTTCCAACTTATTAGGCGCGTCGCGTGTCTGCTCGCTATCCCCACCTCAGTCTTTTGAACTGCCAAGCCTGTTATAATATAGGCCGGCTTCTTATCCAGCTGAGCTATGACCATTCTGACAGCTACTATCTCGTATGTCACTTGACGCTAACTAGCCTGTTTCTCTACTCTATATCTGCGTGCCTGACTCGTCGAATTATAGTTCGGCCTCTTCAAAAGTCAAGAACAGTATCGTCAATACTACCTGGCGAACCCCGTCAAAGACACTGAGTAGAGCTCTGCTGTGGTCGTCGCCTGCTGTTCTTCTCGATGTGTTCTGAGTTGTGCACGCAATCACAATGTCTAGCAATATTGGCGACGGAGTCAATCCACGTGTTCGACCAAGCGGATGCTATAAATTGGTAGTGACGCAACGGACAGGCATACTGAATAAATTTGAGGTACCGTGATTTTATCGCTGTAGCACTGAGTTCAATTTCGTATTCATCTTGTAGTATTTCAGTTACAAATTTGTATGAAAGAATTTGCCAGTGCGGCTTCGACACGTTGAATCTAGCTCAGAAAATAGTTTTATCTTGAGGCTTGCCATCGACTGCATTTGAGTAGTGGGACATTCCTAAGGGATAGCATTGAATATTCGTGTTGTACGCTGACTCATTAACAGAAGCGGTGGTTTTGGTATCAACCACCGCTAGTTCTCCACAAGTAGTTGAATATAGACTGCAATAATCTACGATGTACCCTAGAAAAATTAACTCGAGAAACCGATTAATATACCTAACTTAACACGCACGTATATACATATATATATATATATATATTATATACATATATTATATATATATGTGTGTGTGTGTATGTATGCATCTATATATGTATGTATGCATGCATGCATATGTATGTATGTATATATATATGTGTGTGTGCATGAATGTATGTATGTATATATATAATGTATGTGAATATATATATATGTGTGTGTGTGTGTATGTATGTATGTATGTATATGTAGTGAATATATATATATTATATATGTGTGTGTGTGTGTGTGTGTATGTATGTATGTATGTATGTATGT